TTTTATGCCCTCCAATGATCTGGTATGTCGATGACTCTGGTTTTTTCGAAGATGTTTGAGATTGTCAATTGCTCGAATTGAAGCAATGTCACCTCTGCTTCTCCTCCAGGTGGGTTAGCTACTACGAGCCAGGAGTATTGCTTCTTATCCATTGCACGGTCAGCGCACAACTGATTGGTGTCAACGTCTATCGACTGTTTAGAACTATTTAGGCAAGTACACAGTGCATGCCTTGTTGTCCCCTTGAAATATATTAGTGCGTAGTCGTCCGTAATGTTCGTCGGCATGTGGACATGCATCCACGACGAGGTAACCATATTTTCGCTCGGCTACTGCATCTCGAAATGCCTCTGCAAAATATTTTGCCTGTCCCGGAAATATCTGCGATGCCAAAATTTTATATTCGTGAGCGGACCTTGGGTTGGACATCAAAACGAAATGATGCGTATTCAGGGAAATTGTTCTGTTGCATTCACCTTTAGGGTAGGCCGACTGTTGTATGTTGATCACTGAAATACCGAGATGGTGTGACAGCGTTGTGTAAAGATTTAAATACAACTGATTCTTGCACACTTCTTGCATGTAATCGTCGAGTACCAGTAAACATCTGTTGTTAGATTCCAAGGCATAAGACCTCAGTTCCTCCTCCGTTGGAAGCGTATCTTGAAAGCGAATGTTGGGGACACTTTTTTCTAAATCTCCGTACACTTCCGGCTGGTACACTGCATAGCAGAAAATGATGAGCTCGGGTACGGGGTCAAACATGCTTTCAGCCTCTTTCAACAGTTTAGCCACCCAAACTGTCTTTCCACTGGATGACCCACCCACCACGGAAATGGTCGTGGGGGTTTTAAAGGGTAACAGACATTTGCTTCCATCCATGATGTGTTGTTGTTTAGTCTTCCAGGTTCGTCTTGAACACTGATGCTGACAACCATTAACGGATGAATTTATACTCTGAGAAAAAGACACTGCACAACGGGTGACATGACGTAGTGACGTCTTTGGTTCACCCTTATCTCGTAGCACACTTCGAAGTTTCGAGGGTCCGTAATAGGCACCTGGTTTCTGCGGGTCGAAATAATAATCTTCTAGTGCTGTGCCAGGAGTCTGTGCAGTGTTACTCTCTTGAGAACTCATGATGAAATGAGAGCAGCGTAAGATAAGACAACAAAAATACAATGAAAACATAATGACAAAATAACATCATTGAACGGGATGTTGATTAAGCGGTCTCTCGCTCTCTCTTGCTGTCTCTAAGAGTTATCTCCCTTGGACCATGACCACGTTTTAATTGTAGCGGATGTAAAGAGGATTTGTGGGTAATTTTAATGGTGGTGCAAAGGATTAGATTTGTTTTGCATCTGAAGAGAAATGGGTCAGTGTTTCTGTAGAGCAAGGAAGACAGGGACAGATTAGAGAGAATGAGGAGATGTGAGCGAATCGACATGTGGCTTCTCAAGACATAAGAACAGTGTTCTCTCAGATCGAGTGTCCCAGACACTGCAGTTATGAGTCCCGGATGGAGCAAGTGGAGAGTGACCTTCGCAGACTGAAGGCATGTCGTCCACCCCCCCTGCCTCCGAGGAGAGTGGTAGTAACCAGCATTGATAATGTTGCATCATCATCTCAAAGTAGCTGGCCCACCCCTGTCACACCGACACTGATGGCGCCACATCCATCCCCAATCACCGCAACAGACGAGGACTACATTCCCATGACTCTCATGACTGAATTATAAAAGTTGTACTACATTCCCATGAATGGATTATAAAAGTTTGTTCCTTTTTTTCTTTCTTTTTTTTTTTGAACCTTATTTAGACCAGAAAAAAACTTGCATTCTATCCCAGATGGGACCCCAAATTTTGTAATAATGTTTCATGTTATTGAAATAAAAAGTTCATTTCATTGAATTATGAAAGTTTGTTTGTTTTGTTTTTTTTTCTTCTAAGGTTTATTTAGACCAGAAAAATGTTTTTTAATTAACTTGCTTTGTTGAGTTTTTTAAAAAGACAACAGACACTTGGTCTCCTTCATCATGCGTTTACTCTGAGGCAATTACGTTGATGACTGACGCGAGTAGTCGTCAGTGTTGGTATTAACAGATAACACCAGTCATTTGAATTTTTTTTTTTTACTTCTTTATTTCTTCAATGTTAAGTCATAAAGTCAAACAATGATCGGCTAATTCACTGGAGTTCAGTCACAGATGTCAACCGATTTTACAATGGGTACAGTATTTAAAATAGCGACACATGCTTCTTGATACAAAATCATCATTCCACAGCAAGTCATAAGGATTAAAATGATGGACAATCTGGTTCATACTTAAGCTATCTTTGAATTTGTGTAATAAATAATATAAACAATACAACCCACAAATTTCTGAATCGGACGATTGTAATCGTTGACCATTATGTATGTAAAAGTACCAACGTGTGATTTAAGATGTCGATCAAAGTCAACAATCACTGGTTCCGCGAGGCTGTCAAAAAGTTCTGCTTTATTCCCTTCGATGACCATGGCGATCCAGTGACGTCTCGCTTTTGCCTCGGCTCCGTGTTGGCAATGAAACCCACGCCTCGGCGGCAGAGATTCCACGGGATAGAGGATGGTAAGTTATTTTACAGCGTACACACCCAACACGTGTCTCCGTAAGGTGGGATCGCATTACACAAGCGCACCAGAGCTTCGGATGCCTTCATCTAAAGATCTTAAAGTACTTAGCTACTGCTTCCAGTTACTTGGCGAAGGCGTTGCGGGCTTGATCAATCTCGATGAGAGAGTTTCTCTGAGTCAAGGCGATGCAGCTCAGTGTTGATGAAAGAGCCGATTTGAACTCCAGCTCCAGTCTCCCGTCTCCGGTCTTCACCAAGTTGAGATACTCGAATCGACACAAATCTTGTCCAGGTCAAAGACGAACAGGGCATTTCCCAAGAGAAATTCCGTCCTGGTGATTGTGTTTCCTTTGTCTTGGTTCACACATTCATACCCTCCAACATGCTTACATAGGTGGCGACATCGTCCATTTCGGCTTGGCTGACCAGGAACACTGCTTCCGTTGACGTAGAGAGGGTGATCTTTTTTCACCATGGACGATTTGAAGTTGAAGCGGATTGCCGGTGTAGCTGCCGTTCAGGCTGGCACTTTCCACCAGTCCGGCGATGTACCTGCTGGCCACGGGACTCGAGAGGTTGTCGATGGTGTGACTTTGCTCCCGTGCTCTCGGAATGCTGGTGACCTTGACCTCGCTTTTGACATAGGGATACAAGCGCGTTGGAAGTCTTAAACAGAGAATCATGAGCCATGAGGAGGGCGGGTTGACCTTGACTTTGCACACTTGAAGGTAGGCGTCCAAAGCTGCACTTTTGAACTGGTGGGTGGTCACGTCGCTCATCAGACAAAATTTGGGGTCCGATCTGTACATTTTCTAGGTCATGTCCACCCGTTGACCAGGTGACGATTCATTTCGAAGGCGTCTTCGAAGAGGGGACCGCACAGGGTCAGTTCTTTGCTTTGCTCTATGAAACCAGCGTGTCATCATTCCACTGTTGAGGGATCCCGTGACACTGCTGCTTTCCGTCTTGATTCGCTCTCGGCGTAGTCCTTGTATAGAACAGTTCGCGTGCTCAGCTGGGTTTGTTTGGCTTCTGCACCGTAACCCGAGCTGAAGCGCTTTCATCATACTCTTATAGGGATAATAGTTGTTGGTCGACGACACCAACTCGTTCTGCAAGTGAGCCGACACCTGGAATATAGCGTCTGCATAAACAAGTTCACGAACCACGTTTTCCTCCACAGCCAAGTCCGTATTCCCGTGGAAGCGAGTGACTTTGACCGAGGTGAAGGCGGGTGCGTTTCGAGGTCGATGTATTAGGCTCCGAATTGGACACTTTAAAGCTCAGGCGAAGTGCGTGTAATAGAGTTGATTTGGCTTATCGATCTATTTTGAATAAAGTAATGGCTCTGGACTGGCGACTGATAGAGGCGGTAGAGTAAATCGTTGAGAGCCTCGGGAACCAGTTCCTCGAAGTCACCTTCCTTTATCAGAGACATGGCGATGGAAACAACTGTTCGTTAGCTGAAGATATCGTCTTTATTAAGCGCGAGGGAGATGCGCGAAGCGCTTTGGTAGTCTTGGTGGGAACAATGGAGGAAGTGTTCTCCGGTTCGGCGAATCTTCTTCGTTGGTGACACACCTTCCTCGGCCTTTGCGTTTTATAGCTTTGGTTCTCTTGTCTTTGGCCGGCTCTGTCGACCTCGCTTTGTGATTCCGGCGTCATCGCGAAGGTGACCTCTGTGGTGGGCTGCTTAGGTTGTTGCCCTGCTTGATGTCTCACCACGGAATCACCATCCTTTTGGCTTTCCGTAAAGCAGGTTGGACGTTTTCTTCACGCGTGTTTGTTGTCAAAGTAATGTTTGAACTTGCTATAGTCGGTATGCGTACAGCGGGACGGGTTTCCATGACGAGCGATGCTAAAATCACTCGGCGAAAGGATATCGTCTCCAAGTGAAGTGTGGCATGGGTCTCCTCAGACAAGAATGTAGGCGGCGGTGTCAGGATTGTCACTTCTTAAATACAGTTCGATGTTGTCCGTCTCCTTCCAGTTTGACGCGCATGCACATTTCAGTGCCAAAACTGTAGGTGGGACCCTGTCTCAGATCGATGCGTCTCAGCAAGCCCAGCTGTGTTTCTCCCACCAACGAAGTATCACAAAGATTTGACAAAACATCCACATAGGGATGTTGGACCTTACTCATATCTACTTGTCCAAAGTTCAATTCCATTAAAGATACTACCCAGAAACCAGAAAAAGTTAACCTTTGGTTGAGTTTAACACGAAAATGATAGGGTGTGTTCCCTGGAAAGAATGTGGATTTGGAGTCTGAACTCTTCAGGAAAACATACTTCTCCATTGTTGATCCAATTTGTTTTCTATTGTGTGTCTGTTGTTTCACACTTCTTTCAGTTCGCTTTCATCCACATAGGAGTCATACTTTTAGGCCATCCTAGCCAACGCACCAAAGCATAGGTCTTTCCTTTCACCTTTTTTCCTTTTCAAGACCTTCTCTACTTGCCAGAACCGTCCTGCTGCCTTGTTGACTTTCTTTAGCTCATTTGCATAAAAGGATCCTGTCAGAGGTTCGTCGTGGAAATCTTTCAGTTTGTATTGAGCAAAACCCTGTTTCTTGTAACGTCTAGCCACTTTAAACAGCTCCTCCGTCCACTTGAGGTCAAACACTGTGCTAAACGGTCTTCTCAGATATGAGATGCGAACCAGATCACCTACTTTAAATAGATATCTCTTGGCTTTAGGTTTGCTGATGTTCATACTTGTGCTGGTACTGTTGATTTTCTTCCTTATGGGTTTCAGGTAGACATGGTCCCACACTTTCACCTGGTTCCCTCTGGTCACTTGTGACGGGGACATATGTGGTAAAGAAGAATGCAGTGTGTGATTGTAGTTGTAAACCAGATCGGGGAGAATGTCCACATAGCGTTTGGTGTTGTTGCGTGTCATGTATCGTGTGATCAAGGACTTCAACGTCCTGTTGAAACGTTCCACGTAGTTACTTTTTATGTTTTCGTTGCGTGCAATGGTGTGGGTGATATTTTCCTTGTCCAGAAATGTCTTAAAGTTAGCTTTGAACTCGCTTCCGGCATCCGTCCTCACACTTTTTAGGCTTTCTGTCCTTCAGTATTACTTTGAGCGCCTTCAGGGCGACCTCTGGTCTCTTATTATCTAGAGGCAGTGCGAAAAGCATAGCGTGAAAAGAATATCCACAGCTCACCAGCAGGTATCTGACACCGTCGTTCCATTTTGTGTACCTAGACAAATCCGCTAGATCCACGTCAAACATTTCGCTCAGAGAATTCACTCTGACTCTCATTCTTTAAAGCGGTATCTGGGAGGTCTGTTCAAGCTGTAAGCGTCTTGATTATTGACAAACTTTTTTTTCACGCTTTCGCGTAGGGACGCCTTAGATTCACCCTTTTCCGTAACTCATCGGCGAGCTTGGCTGGGCCGTAATAAGCTCGGGTTGTTTAGGATCAAATAATACTCCTCGAGGGCTTTGTCGGAGGGACCACCGCTCTTATGACCCTTTGGAGAACTCATAATGTACTAAACGATAGCATCTTGAGTTGATACATTTATATCTAAATCAATTAGAAATAACCAGTAAAAACATTTTCATGATGAATCTATCATTTTATTTATTTATTTTTTATATTTTATTCACAAATCATTCTTGGATGATACTTTTATTTGATAATGTAAATGTGTAACAACAAACATAAAGCTGAAATTGCTTTTATATTTAAGGTATGAGTCCAAACATTCTTAATTTAGTGTCCAACACTCGATAGTCAGTTCCTGGTATTATTGGCTTAAAATAATAATAATAATAATCTTCCAATGTCTTGTAGACAGCTTTGACATTCCTCTTGTTCTTACCCTTTCGAGAACTCATTGATGAAATGATAAAAGTTCATCATGGAAAATGCTAATATAATGACTGACGAGCTTCCTCTTTGAAGGATATACATACTTGTATATGCAAAAAAAAAATGATCAACAAACAAATATGTGAAATTCAAGAGCAATTTTATTCGTTACAAGATGATGATGATGATAAAACAATTATGGGATATATTCTTCAAAGAACCTTTCATTCCATTGTGTGTCATTTCTGGTTACACTCTCCAGTAACACTGGTCAAACTTCTCAGTTACAACTGGTCAGACTTATAAGTCTTTTTTTCCAAAACAACATCTTAACAACTTCGCTGTTTAAGATCACTTCTCCATTCAATCGTTTTGAACTGAGAGTCACGATAGTCCTTGCACTGATAGGGAACTAAGCTAAAAGCGGTTATGTCAACCAGGGATGAGTCATCACTCAAGAGTTTCATCCATTGTTCTATCACATCGTGATCGTCATTGATCTCGTTCATGGCAGTATCAAAGTATTTGTCCACTTGAACCTGTTCAGACAAGTCACAACATGAGTGTTCTTGTTCAGCCTCGAACATGCAACCAAAACAAAATTCCCAGGAGAGTCGCTGGATGATTTTGGTAACTTCTAATAATAGAGTAGCACAAGCTGAGAAGTCCTTCTGCATGTTTTTAGTTTGTTTTGTCATGTCCACCTCATCAACGCACGGGGGTAACTTTCGAGACTTCTTGATAACAACTCTTTTGGTTTCTGTTTGAATCGTCATGAAATTTTCTCTTGGCGTCCTTGATGCATTCACTGCGATCTTTGAACCATTCCCCGGACTGCATGACAATGGACTCTTGAAGTGTCACTGGTTCTGTTCTCATCACCTGCTTCCACGAGTAGAAAGACACTTTGCTGTCAACTGCACTTTTCCTGTCCATGATAAGAACTGTTCAGAAAGCGAGAGAGAAGCACTATGTGTCCGCCTCACACAACTCCTGGCTATGACGAACTGGCATGGTACATTTTTCTTTACTTTAACAAGACTAGGGTGGGAATGTAGAGGAAAAAAGAAGCATTCCCATTGGATGAAATCAAATATGAGTCACGTGTTTGTCAGCAGACAAACTCATTGGTGGATAAAATGTCATTGAGTGTTCTTGATTTTAGGATTAGGTAACAAGTACCCAAGACAGCTACTCAACAAAGCAGTCCATAGATTTGAATTACCCTGGTCAATGGAAAGATTCACAATACAAGTAATGACAACAATGTAAATGATAATAATCTGGGAAAAGAACACGGTTTCAGATCTTGAAACATGCTTCCCAAAAAGTGACCACTTTATAGGAGACATGGAGGAAGAAGAGGTTGCAGATATAGGTTGTTCCTCCATTATCTCATTTCATCTTTTATGATGATA